TGCAAGGAACATCTTACATCGTTCTCACAGGTACATTCCACCGTGCATTAGGAATACTTCCATATGTGTTATTTTTTACGTGAGATGTTTCTAGTGTGTGCCTGTGAAGTCATAGTGAGGCGCGCTGAGTGAAGACATGTTCCTCGTTACAATGCTTCGACCGTCCTGTCTGAACCATTCAAAGATACCAAGCGATAATTAATTGGGCCACATGTATTATTCATTTATCATTTATCAGTTTCTCTACTATCTTTTTCTAAATCCATATCCCGAGATCTAAAACAGCAATGTGAATACTTTCGCTTAAAAAACAACTGAAAATGGCAAGCATTAGAAGTTAAATAAGAAAAAAAACAATTTAATATAGAATGTTAGAAAAGTGATTTAATACGTAACTTTCTTTCTTTCTTCTAGCTTGTTCGTGATCACATGTGTAATCATGGTTTTCAAAATCAGATTGGATCCAAAAAATCAGGAGATGATCAGTTTCGTTTTTTCCTAAAACAGAAAATTTGTCAAAAAATATTGATTTGGTTAGTAAATCGCTGATCTGAACAGTTGAATTGTTCGAATCATTCAATGGTTTTGACTGTTTATTTATTTTATTTTTTTGTTAGAATGGACTGTCCTTTTGATTTAAATGGTCAGACCGTTTGACCTGGAAACCACTCTGACCCGAGTTCGATTTTAAAAACCTTATGTGTAAAGACTTCTTTTAAAGAGGAAAAAGAAAAAAAAAATCTCATTGCCATTTTCCTCCAAGTTATGCATCTAATTAAATAACTGTATAGACAACTTTATCAACTATAAATCTCGCCAAGAAAGACGGATTCAGTATCGTTGATTTCTTGGCAACTTGGTATCTTACTGTTCTATCCACAATTACTCGATCCATGGCAACCCCCATGACAGTCCATTATATCTCAAGGTGTATCATCAAACCGAAATGCCTTCCAGAAGAATCAAAGCAGATTTATCACTTAAACCCATGGGATATCTCAATGCTCTCCGTTCACTACATCCAAGCTGGTCTTCTTTTCCCCAAACCTCCTGTTTCTGTCAACCAAGAAGACAACCACTATGGCATCCCCGCTATTGTTGACCAGCTTAAGGAATCCCTTTCTCGCACCCTTGTTCACTTCATTCCCCTTACCGGCCGTTTCATCACACAGAAAAGCAACAACCCACATTCTTACTCAATTTCTGTAGACTGCAGAGACGCTGCGGGGGTGGTTGAATTCATCCACCTTTCAGCCCTATACACTCAAATATCTACTATTCAATCCTACGAGCTTAAATCCTATCCCTCCATACTTGTAGGCACTCTCTCCTTTTCATTCTAGTTGTAGGATCCCTCTAGTTTAATTCTAACCCTCCGTTCCTAAACCTTAGGGTTGTCCATTTTTTGCATATACCTACTAGTCGCCCCTCTCTTTCTCTCTAATCCTAATTTTTTCCACCCTTCTCTATAAAAAACACCCCAGGGGCCTTTGAGAAGGGGTTGATTAACCTAGTTTACAAGGCCAAGGCTTCTTGAGGGGTTTAAGGGTTACAAGAAGGAGGATGCCCAGTTCTTGTTAGGAGGGATTCCTGCAAGCAGTTCGTCCAACCTGCAACTGCTGCCACTGGAGCTGATCCACCATTTTTATTTTGTTTTATTTTCTTTCTTTTTGTTATTCAATTTTTTAAGCAATTTAAATTCTGTAATTTTTTATTTTGGTTTGATTTAATTTATGTTTTTCTCTGTCTTTTGCAAATCTGAATTCGCCCAATTCAAGGCTAAGGTGTCTCGAGGGGTTCGAGGGCTGAACGGAGGAGGAACGACTTGTAGTTTGTCTTCTCAAAAAGCTACCGCCACTGGATCCGAATTTCAATATATATGTATTTATTTTCTTGTTAATTTCAGAATTTTATTTCTTGTCTTTTTCAATTCTGAATATTTAATTTCAGCTTTAATAAATTTCATTTTCTTATTTTCTACAAATCCCAAATCTGTTTTCTTTTTTTTTTTATTTGTCCGGAACAAAATAATAAGTTTTAACATTGCTTCCCTAAGGATTCGACCCCTTCTTCACCACTAAACTATGTTCTTTATTTAGTTTTGAGGATTGGAAAAATATAAATTATTAAACTAGTGTCCCAGGTGTTTGATGATGCATCCCGGGTGCACCACGGTACTGTGGTAGGGTTGAAATTAGGGGTGATCATGCAAAATCAAAAAATCAATCTAAATCGATGAGGCTGAATTGAAAATTCTGGTTAATCAAATTGATTGGTTCAGTATTTTTAAAAACCAAAGGTACCAATTTAGTTTTGGTTAACTAATAAAAAAACGACAATTAACTAAATCAACTGGTATATATATATAATATACATATTTTTTCATATATATTTTATATTTTCTATATATTTTAAATGAATATATATGCATTATATATATATTTAAAATATATAATATATTACTTTTTATTTATAATATAATATTTTATATGCATTTCTAACTTTTTATTATATATGTACATGTTTATTTGTAATATATATTATAAAAATAAAAAAGACCAACAAACCAAACCAATGGTTAACCAAACCAATCAACCAATTAACCGGACGACTTTGGTTTGGTCTCAATTACCAGTTTTCCAAACAACGGTATTACCAATTCGATTTGGAAAATTGGCCTGTGGTTTGGTTAACCAAACCGTGAGTACCCCTAATTGAAACTTGGTTTGATTAGCTACTTATGAATTGGATAAATATGTATTTATGCATTTAACTACTTATGTACAACACATTATTGGCTTCTGATTTGATTGACACTCATAAGTAGACCTGTTCATGGACCGGGCTAGGTTGGGCTTGAGCTGGGCTTTCACCTGTTACAATATAATTTACTTAGGCCCGAGCCCAAGCCCAACCCAACCATCAGGCCTAGATCTTAGGCTTAAGCCTGGCCCAACCATTGGGCCTAGATCTTAGGCCCAAGCCTGGCCCTCATAAAAGCTTGATGCCCAAACCGAAGTTGTTATCAACGAACTAGAGGGGGAGAGAATAGTATGAAAGCACACGAAGGAGATGGAAACACACATTTTTGTCATTTGACGGCCTTTGGCTTCGTCGTTCCTCTGTTTGTTCCTCTTCAATGGGACCAAAATACTTCCTAGGTTTGTCATTCCTCTCCAGTTGTCCGTCATCCTGGTTCGTTCTTTCCTCTTCAATTGCTACTCTTTAGCTACTACTCTTCCTGGTCCGTTCTCCAATTGCCCCTCTTCCTTATTCGTTCCTCACCCATTCTTCTAGAACTAGGGTAATAAGAGAGGGCAAAGGGTATTTTAATAGGTATACAATAACTCGTACAGGGGTAAAATAGGTATTTTGAAAAAAATTATCATCAGTTTAACATTTTCCGTCTGGGTCATTGACGAAAGGGAGGTTTTTGTCTACTTTTTTTGAAAATAGAAGGAGGTTTTTGCTAAAGTTAAACTATACGGGAGGTTTTTGTTATTGTCAGAAACTTCAAGGTATTCTCTAAATTGCATTAATGTGAACAATATGCAATTGAATTACATTTTTCTGGTGTGGCTCTTACACAAAATATGCAACCCCACACAAATTGATTAGTTACAGATTATCCCATCACCTTATAGGCTTATACACAATACACGAATTCATCAGTCTCAACTAATCCGATTTGGGCCAGTGTCAATGGGATGAACCCCATCCAAATCAAAATCAATTTGGATGGATTTAATGGGCCAACAAGACATACTGAATTGGACCAAAAATCTAGGGGGCAATGGTGGAGGTGCTGGTGCTTGTGAGTAATTCCTACTACTTGTGTGGTAGGAGCTTCTTGTGTTAATATTAGAAGAGGCGGTAGTTTTGTTGGTGTTGTTGGTGGTGCTGGTTGTAGCAGCGTTCAATAACCTTCTTCCATGACCAATAGGATGAAGGAGTTCTAACTGCATCTCTAACATCAAAGAATTTCATGAACCGTTTGGATGGCATCTTTCTCAATTCCTTCCCAGCCCTAAATTATTACAAAATCATTCAATAAGAAAGTTGTGAATTAAAAATGAATAAATAAATATGCCACCCTATCACCATCAACCAACGAAAAAGATTAACTCATGCTTTGTTCTTCCACTCTAAAAGATATGTTAAAACATTCAAAGAAAGAGAACATTAAATCAATCAAAACCCAAAAAATTATGTCATCAGTAGGCCAATTTCAGGTAAATATTAAGGGTAGGTATTTGGTTATTCGTGGGTAATTCATACCAAAGTTTTGGAAATTTCTTTGAACTTATTTGCTGAAACTTTCGAATTCAAGTTGAAGACCAACAGGGTCCCTTGATTTTGCCCGTCCGGACCAGTAGTACAAACAGCTCGGCTAGCAATGAGCCCATGTGCAGGTGGAGGCATCGGAGCCGCTAAATTCTCCACATCAATCTATAAACTCTGGTTCAACAACGAGTTGTAGTATTGCCGTCCGTTGGCACAGAGCTCAGAAGCAATGCTCTCGTAACTGTGGCCAAAAGCGATGGAAGCAATGGTGGCGGTTGAAATGGATTTACACTGCTGGGTCTAGTGTACGCCAACCTATCACAGAAGGGCATCGCTTAGATGGTAAATTTGCGAGTAAATTTGGCACGGTTGAAGTAAATTTACGTGCAGATACCATTTCCTGCGCGTAAAAATGACCACTTCGCTCAGACCCTAGTCCTTCCCGTTTTAGTATATATAATTGATATGATGGGGAAAGAAAAGAGTTTTGACCTATCAAAACCCAGCCATGAATTTTATTATTCCAATTTATTGGTAAATTGTATCTTTTCCATATATCATTGTCGTACCAATTGTTTAAAAGTGTAAAAATATTGCGGTGGAGAGGGACCAAGAAAAAGAGTGCTCTTCAATATGAGTAGCTTTTTTCTGGTGGTCATCGATCATAAAAAACAAATATTAATTAAAGCCATGTGGTAGGAAAACTTTCTTTCAACATGTGTAAAGACATCTTAAATAAAAGAAAAAAACTTAAAACATCTCTGTACCATAATTCTGTAAAGACAACTTTATCAGCTATAAATGTCGCCGAGAAAGATGGATTCGGCATCGTTGATTCCTTGGCAAATTCGTATCTTACTCTTCTATCCACGATTACTCGATCCATGTCAACCCCAATCATACTCCGTCAAATCTCTAGGTGTATCATCAAACCGCAATGCCTTCCAGAAGAATCAAAGCAGATTTATCACTTAAACCCTTGGGATATCTCAATGCTCTCCTCTCACTACGTGCAAGCTGGTCTTCTTTTCCCCAAACCTCCTGTTTCTATCAACCAAGAAGACAACCACGATGGCATCTCCGCTATTCTTGACCAGCTTAAGGAATCACTTTCTCGCACCCTTGTTCACTTCATTCCCCTTACCGGCCGTTTCATCACACAGAAAAGCAACAACCCACATTCTTACTCAATTTCTGTAGACTGCAGAGACGCTCCAGGGGTGGTTGAATTCATCCACGCTGTAGCAGACCTGAAGATAGCTGATGTCCTCTCTCCAATGGACGGGCCCCCTATCGTCCATTCCTTTTTTCCCCTCAACGGAGTTGTCAACAATGATGGCCACACCATGCCTTTACTAGCTGTTCAAGTCACAGAGTTACTAGATGGGATTTTCATGGGTTGTTCCTTTAACCACGCCATTGGTGATGGTGCTTCCTTCTGGCATTTCGTTAATACTTGGTCTGAACTCTGTAGAGAAGAAGTAAAAGATAAGCGTATCTCATTCCCACCAATACTTGAGCGTTGGTTTCCAAATGGCCATAGTCCGATTGTAAACCTACCATTCTCTGACCACACATAATTCATCGAGAGATACAAATCACCCATGCTCAGAGAAAAGTTCGTCCATTTCTCAGCACAAACCATGGCAAGACTCAAAGCAAAGGCCAATGCAGAGTGCAACACTACCAGCATCTCCTCATTGCAGGTATTGCCTGCATTGCTCTGGAGGGCTACGACAGAAGCGCGTCAGTTAAATGTTAATCAGACAACGAATTGCACATTTGTAATCGATAACAGGCCAAGATTGAATCCACCATTATCTCCAAACTACTTTGGAAATGCAGTTCAGGTAGTGAGAGGGACAACAACAGTGGGAGAACTACTAAGCCATGGTCTTGGGTGGACAGCATTGATATTGCATCAAGCTGTGGCCAGCCACACAGACAGCGTGGTGCGCGAGCAGATGGAAGCAAATATGGTATCCCCCTTCATTTTCTATCTGAGTGAGTTATTCGATCCATTTGGTGTGACGATTGCCAGCTCGCCAAGATTTGACATGTATGGGAATGATTTTGGGTGGGGAGAACCAATAGCTGTGCGCTGTGGGCCTGCTAACAAGTTTGATGGGATGGTGTTTGCACACCCTGGGAAAGAGGGGGGTGGGAGCGTGGATTTGGAGGTGTGCCTTCCGCCTGAGGAAATGGGTGCCCTTGAGTCCATTGAAGAGTTTATGGAGGCAGTCTCTCCATTGCCTTGAGTCCTTGACCTGGACGGACGAACTCTCTTCCTCTTGCTACCACTAGATAGATGTTTGGTGTGATTTTTTGTGGAAGCAATTAATTATTCGGTAATATTACTTATAATGTTTGAATGAGGAAGCTCCCCATGTTGGTAAAATGATTCAGTTCAGTAGTGACTAAATTCCTTGCTCCAATCTGTAATGTGTTCTATGAAACCTTGCAGGACGGGACATGTATATAAAGGCATTTATATATATAGAATAAAACTCGATTAATAAAAACACGTCAACAAGGTTGAGGTTGGTCCGTAAATCTCGTTCTCAAGATTTCAGTATAGCTTGTCCCATAAAATAAATTCTAGAGAAAATTTCCGATTAGTTCTCTGTAATTTGGGCCTAGTGCCACTTCGGTCTCCAAACTTTAAAATGCGACAATTCAGTGCCCGGACTTTTAAAATGTGTCAATTCAGTATCTGTCGTTAATCAACTCTTAATCAAACGTTAAGTGGCATTTAAAAAGATACAAATGCTCTTCAAGTATCATTTAATCTTCTTCGTCAATCACCCAAACGTTGACAAAAATAAAAATAAGCAGTCCCAAATCCTTGCCTTTTCTATTCAAGAATGTTGACAAAAAATTACCAGATCCCAACTTTCTTGAATAGAAGAGGCAAGAATTTGGGACTGTTAATCTTTTTATCAACATTTGGATGGTTGATCAAGAAAATTAGATGACACTCAAAGGGCATTTGTGTCTTTTTCAAATGTCACTTAACAACTGATCAACAGTTGATTAACAACAAATACTGGATTAACACGTTTTGAAAGTTCCGATACCGAATTGTCACATTTTAAAGTTCGAGACCAAAATGACATTAGGCCCAAAGTACAGGGTACTAGTCGGGAATTTTCCCTAAATCCTATGATGCCCTATACACAAATCGAATAAAGGGTTGTCATCCAAAACTCCCCTTCACATTCCTCTTTACTCTCACTTTTCCAAAATTCCAAGCGCACCCCTTACCTTCTGTCAAGTTTACCAGAAGTTGTACAGGTAGGCCATTAATTGTTTTTAATGGCCAAACTAATCCTCGTTCTTTGTTAAAATAATTGTTAAAAGAAAAAAAATAAGACAAGTAAAAAACCAAAAAAAAAAACTTTTATCCAACTCCAAATAACGAAAGCTTATAAGACAATTTGGATGAAGATAAACACCCAAGTCTCAAATGGACAATTAGTATAATCAAGGTCAAAGTATCGGAAATGCCAAGTATATGAGAAAGGCAATTTTAAGAGACGTATCGAAATACACCTTGGATACGCATGCATATCGGAGAAAAACTAATATATGCATAGATATGCTTGGAAACACTAAATACTTTAATAAATCATAAAAATACATCAATTAACAATAAATATAAAACCTCAATTAGGTGCATATACATTAAATTAATATATTTTAATGGTTTTATGAAAAATATAGTGTAGTTAATTATAATTTCATTAAACATATGCTTAACTATGATTTATAAATTATAATTCTTAAGTTTTAATGTTTTATAGGATGGGAATAACCCAACTCTCCTATCCAACCATAAAATATGCATTGGCAAAACTTCGATGTAAAAATATAAATAACAATTATTTATTATTTATTTCCAAAAATTATACAAAATAAATAAACATTATATATTATATTCAAAAAATAGTTATTAAAGAAGAAATTTCAATTGCTTTGTGGATATGATATATCATCCATAGAATTATAATATATTCAATCATTGTGATCAAATGATAAAATATAATTAATTATTTTTTTTTTAATTCTAAAAGTATAAAAATAAAAAAGTACCCCCCTTCACATTGAATCCATGATTAGTGGCAAACATTTTGCAAAGGCAAACCCCCTAGGACTTATTGTATGTCCATGGTCCAACTAAGCTTTCATTGTATAACCATCTTGAAATGAGGTAGACACTCACTTCCTTCTAAGGCCAGCATAGCCTAATTAACTTATTACTCTACCATGAATAAGTGTTAAAGCCACAAGAGAATTGATACCAGAACAAGAAAAGAGCGAAGTAACCAATCTTATTAGTTCAGAAGAGTGATACTATGGTTCACAGGAGAAAAAAAAGTAAGACAGAATAAGGACCACTTTTGTTGATGAAGCTTGTTTTCAAGAAAAAAAGGAGACAAGACTTAAGCTAGAAGGGATGACTTTGAGGACCACTTGACAAGTGATTAATTTGCCTGATTGACAAAGAAAAATAATTAGGTTGATGCTTTATTTGACTTTCTTTTTGTTGTTTTTTGTTGTTTTATTATTTATTATTTTTTATCTTTTTTATTTGTGTCAGACCCAAGCACCACTTCTTAGGCTGCCTATGTACCCCTCGGAAAGGGATCAAACCAATCGTAATTCTAAATTTTTTTTTTTTTTATAATTGTGATCGATTGATGATGGCTTTTGATTGATTTTATTTCTCTCTTTTTATTTACTACTTTTTGTCATTTGATCCCTTCCTTTTACCCGTTTTGCTTATTTGTAATTATTATTTCATTATTTTTTAATTTATTCTTCTATTGATTTTTTTAGTCACACTTTTTTTTATTCTTTCATTGATTTTTTTATATGTGGGTATTGCATGCACCGTAGGTCTATGTATAAGGAGGTAGTTGGAAGCTAGGTTTTAGGTAGAGGGTGAATGGGGCTGCTTGAGGTTGGCTCTTAGTTGTAGGAAGTCTAGATGATATGGACCTATTGAGGTGGGCTCTAAGGTGTGGGAGGGTGGGCTGAACCTATGCAGAGTTGGTTTAAGCTCTAAGATGTGGGAGGGTAGGTTGAATCTATGTGGATTTGATTCTAATTGTCAGCTGGGTTTAGTTTAGGATGATGGGCCTGGAGAGGTTGTTGCTGAGCAGGTAGGTTAAGTTGGGGTCAAGTGGATTAAATAGGCTCGATTTGGGTCTGTCTGGTTTATTTTAAAGGACTCAAGTGGATTAGATGGAATTGATTTTGGGGTCTAGTTGGCTAGATTGGGCTGGCTCAATTAAAATCTAAGGGCTTGGAGGGATATGGGCTATGTGAGTTAGGTGCAAATCAGGATTGATTAAGGTTAAGGGTTGAGCAATTTAAGCTAGGAACAAAAGGAATGGCTTTGTCATGATGGGTTATGGACTTGGTTCTAGCTTGGATTAGAATCATAGGTTGGATTTAGATCTAATATTGGACTCGGTAGTCTAGGTTTGGATTGTAGATTGGATTTGGATTTATGTCAGAGTCATAGATTGGGCTTAAATTCTAGATCAAGGGATTTAGGTCATGAGTTTGAGATCTGGGATCTAGACTAGGATGTGTGTTTTGATCTAGGTTTGGATCAAGATCTAGATTTAGATTTAAGATTTGGTTTTGGATTTGGATTTGGATCTATGTTTGGATCTGAGTTTACATTGGTTTATAAATTTAGGAGATGAGCATAGTATTTGGGTGATGGGTCCAGCACTTGGATCCGGGTTAGGTTTGGACTTGGATGCAGATCCAAGTCCAAGTCATAGGCTAAGATCTAGGTATGGGTTTAGATTTAGGCCTAAACCTAGTTTGAATCTGGGTTTAAAACTGGGTTTGGATTTGCATTTTTGTCCAGGTCTAGGTTTAAGTTTAGGTCTACATAGGTGTCTACAATCTACCTCTAAGTTTGGTTGTAAGCTTAGGTCTAGATCTAGTTTGGATCTGGGGTATAGGACTGGGTTTGGATTTGTATCTATGTCTAGGTTATGGATTTAGGATTCAGATCTGGGTTTAGACCTAGGGTCTAAGTTTGGGTTTAGATATGGGTTTGGGATTATATCTAGATTTTCGTTAGGATCTAGATTTGGACTTTAGTCTAGGCCTGGGTATGGATTTAGATATGGATATAAATCGGGATCATGGATTAGGATCTAGGTTTAAGCTTGGATTGGGTTGGGTGCATGCAAGACTTGGAAGATGAAGATTCATTTTTACTTCTTTTTTTTTTTTTTTTGATGTTGAACTTTTATTTTAATTTGGGCCCCTCTAAAAATAAATAAATGAAGTAAAAACATGCAAACGAACAATTGACAAACAAAGATGAATGACTCTATACTTAAATAAATACATAATATGTAATGTATGCGGGTTGGGTTTCACTCACATGCATTTTACAAGGTGGGCCCGATATACTTTTGGTGGGCATGCATGTGGGGTACATGTGTGGACATGTATGTGGGGTCTATATACATTTTCAAGGTGGGCCCCACATACCATTGGTGGACATGTATGTGGGGCCCACATACATTTTACAAGGTGGGCCCGACATACCAATGGTGGGCATACATGTGGGTCCATGTGTGGACATGTATGTGGGGCCCACATGCATTTTACAAGGTGGGCCCCACAGACTATTGGTGGACATGCATGTGGGGTCTATGTGTGGACATGTGTGTGGGGCCTACATACATTTTACAAGGTGGGGTCCACATACATTTTTCAAGGTGGGCCCCACATAATACCTAACGTGGGCCCACATACATTTTCCAAGGTGGGCCCCACATACCATTGCTAGGTCCCACTTACACATTCAAATAGTTTTTTGTGAAAAGATAACCCATTTTCTTCCAAGTGTATGCATCGTGCCACACGTTCGAAGAAGACGTGGGGGGGGCGCTAAAAGATTGTAAAAGCTTCATTTGAAGCTTCTTGAAAAAGCCCAAATTCAGGTTATTGGCATCTTTTATGGGCTAGAGCTTTTTTCTCAATAGATCTTTCTATTGCCAAATGGGAAAAGCCCAGAATTCAGACTTTCGAGATTCTAAATAGCCCAAAGACTGCACGGAAAGACTTGCCAAACGTGGCCTTAGTCTTTATAGGTAGAGAAAAATTACATTTTCAAATTTTTTTATTAATTTATATTTTTCTCAAATGTCTTCATGAAATTTCTATAAATTTATTAATAACACAGAAAAAATGATTTTAAATGTAAGAAATGTAGATCAAC